CTGGTCGATGTTTCTCTCTCATCGACATTTCTAGCTCTCTATCTCCCTCCCTTCCTCTCTGTAAAAAAATCAATAAAATATATTTTTTTAAAAAGAAATTTCAATCGTTGTACTGTTGATATTTGGCTCGGTTGACTAATGAGTTTGCCGACCACTGCTCTAACCAACTGAACAACTAGGCCAGGGTCATCTTTGTTTTTAAGCTAACTTGCTTTCATCTTACTTTAGTAAAGTGCTCCTATCTATACTCTCCCGCCCTCTTCATTTCCACCTTGAGTCCTCCCCTCTTTCAGTGTGGTCTCCTCCCACTGAAAGCTGAGAGAAACAAACATTTGCCCCATATCTTCCTTCTGTTGTGGGAAAGCTACTCTCCCTCTTCCCTAAATGAAGAGAAGAGGGAAGAGGCAGCAGAGTTTCAGAATGTACACCGTTCCTTCTGCTCTCTTTCCCTTTCACATTCAGTCCATATCTTGCCGTCTGTTGGTTAGTTTCGTTTTAGTCCTTTTCCCACCAATGTATTATTAGGAAATGTTTTCTGAGCTCAGAAATAATCTGGCTTCCCGTGTCCTTCCCCACAGCCTTTTCAGAAATTTAAACCCCTCTTTTCTCTGATTATTCACTAACATGAAAACATAATTAGGAAGAAAATTACTGGAAACCTATCTTGGTTTCCCCACACTTTATATGAAAATGATTATAATTCTTATTAAGTTGGTGGATGTCAAACTCAATTCAATGTAAAAAATGTATAAATGATTTGATAAAAACACAGCTGCCTGTCTGAAGAGAGGGCAAAAGAAACACTTTAGGTGTGACGATAACAGGTGTTCTGGTAAACCCTGGGACCTCAGACGTTGTGTGGATCTTACAAAGTCCTCTGGACAGCAGTTACAAGATCTTGTTTCCTAGAGAAGGGGAGGAAGAAGCCCAATTTGGATTCTTTCATGTATCTAGTTTTTTGTTTCTTTTATTTAGGAAGTCAAAACACTGACCTCATTTCAAACTGCCCACACCCCCCACCCCACCCCCACCCCCACCCCCACCCCCACCCCCACCCCCACCCCCACCCCCACCCCGCCAGGATCTCCCCGAGGTTTAGGCCCTGAAGGTGTATGTCCAAAGTGCTGGGTGGTAAGCTGTGTCACCAGAAGGAAACCTCGTGCTATTTTTAAATTGATGCAACACACTGAAACATCATACACATATCATACCAGTGACACACACGCCGCATTGTAACATAGCATGTGTCATACATACATTCTCTCTCACTCACACATACTGGCTCTTCTTGTCCGGCGTTCAGAAAAGGAAGGCTGCCAGGAAGCCGGGCCCGGCGATTCGAGTTCAAAAGGCTGTTAATGTTTAAACAGCAAAGTGTCCCTCTCGCTCTCAGCCGGACTCGGAGACATGTGGGAGCGCTTCAAAGCCGAGGTGCCCCTCTCCGAGAGCGCGGGCTTGCAGTTGGTCCCCAAATGTTTACCAGCATGAAGATGCCTAACTCACAGGAAGTGGGAAATGGGCGTGGGGGGTGAGGGTGGGTGCGTGGGTAGGGAGTGGGGAGCAGAGGGTGGTGGGGGTGTTCTCTTGATGTGGTTAGTCTGTCATTGACCTTGTTTGGTTAAAGCAGGAGTTGAATTAGAAAATGAAAACACGTTTCATCTAAGACACATTTCATCCCATCTTTTACTTTCCTTAGGGAAAAAGAAATAATAATAATCTCCCCCCCCCCACCCCCCCAACTGAAGTCAGGTCTCCAGATTTGGTCTTCAATCTCCTTTCTTTCTACAATAGTCTTTTCCTCCAGTCATCTGCCCTTACATTGCAATTCCCATCCCACCCAAGGACTGGGCAGGGACCAGTAGCTGAAACTGAGTGACGGGTTTGGTTGAGCCGTTGTGGTGATACCATCAAAGGCAACAGATGGGGGTTTCGGAGAGCCACCTATTTAGATCCTTCATGGTTTGCTTAATGAGAGAACTCTGCCTGAGAAATGCTGATTAATAAACATAACTGAGGTTGTATGTTCCCCCCACACACCCCCTCCGGTGTTTTAACAGGGAGGGAAATGATATAATGACTTAAAAATGAGCCAAATTATTAGTAGGAAACAAACATTTTGAGGCTTGAGATTTCAGACAGTGGCAACCTCAGATAGCTCTCTCTGCACAGCTATACCAATGCCAGCGCCGCCCTGCTTTTGTCAGCACTCTGCATGTGATGCTTGGGCCTTCTAGAAGGATTGAGTGAAGTTCAGAAGGTCATCCCCTTTCCTTCCCCTTTAACTATTTTGTGCTGGACAGTACCTAAATATGACTATAGGAACATGCTTTTTATAATTATGCTTTCTTTCCTTCATTCCTTCTTCCTTTTTGACATGTTTCATTTAAATTTATATTATTGCCTATCCCTGACTGCTATAATTGCAATTTAAAAATGGTTTGGTTTAGGGGTGTGTGGTGGTGGTTTTTATTATTATTATTATATTATTATTATTATTATTATTTTAGGCAAGAAACAAAGATTTGAAGAATTTTATAACCCAGCACTCTGTGTCTCCAAATTTACTTTCCTTGAGGTTCCACTCATGCCTTCGCCAGCTCAGCTGGAACACCTGGAACTAATTTCAGGGTTGCCCGGGTAAGCCCCACACTGGTATTTGAAGTTTGCGTCCTCCTTAGACTCAAGCCCATTTCACCACCTCTGAAGGTGAGTGCAGGCTGATCTTAATTAACAGTGAGTTGATTCACTGGCATCTTCCAGTCATTAAAGTAAATATTTGGCTTAAAATAGCCTCTTCCCACCTCAAATATCCCAGCTTCTTGCCTGTTCCCTCGCTCCGTCCCGGTTGACTCACCGGGACGTGCACGGTATCTGTGGCCTACGAGCGGACTTTGCTTCTGAAAGGGAAGCGAGGTCCCCCCCGAACATCTGCAGGCGAGACTGGTGGGACAGCAGGCCGGCCTTCGGGATGACTACATTGTTTTCCTGTCCACCGTGGCGCTGACTCAGCATCAGTCCGTAAACCCTCTCAAGAAGGCTGGATTTCTCTTGTTTAATAATCATCCTGGAGCTTTCTGAGAACTCTTAGGGATTGTTCACTCTGTGTTAGACATCTGCCAGCTGAAAGTCCCACTTCCTCTTGGTGCTAGCGTCCCCTCTGGCACACGGTGCAACAACAGGTCACCGGGCTGTGAGCAGAGCGTGTGTTGCTTATGTCCCCTAGTGGGAATTTAATTATTCTGTACTACCGAGGCTGTGGAAGGGTTTTAGACACACACACAAAAAATTTTATTTCCTGGCACCTAATCTCTGACTTCCCACCCACCTCTCCCCTACCCCATCACCCCCCCCCCAAAAAAAAAATTCTAGAAAAGCATCCTGAAAAGGAGAAAAGAAAGGTTAAAGATAAGCAGACAATATTTTTATGATTGAGTTGGGATTTTTGTTTTTGCTTCTTCCTGTAAACAAATACTCAGATGTCCACTTCATTGTATGACTAAGTTGGTATTATTATGTTGAGACTGGGCGTGTGTGCGTGCGTGCGTGTGTGTTGAGACGTGGGTGTGTAGGCACACGTGTATTTAAAATAAAGACATTGCAGCCAGAGGTGGAAGGAGAGATGGTTTTTAAAACAACCACCTTTATGAGGCAAGCAGGAAAAGTGGGAAATTTGGGCCAGTGATCTGCCACAGGACGGCAAAGGGGTGCCTGCTGTAAATGGACCCCATGCACCATTGTTCCTCTGAATTAGAGGGCTCCTTGCTGAAGGCACCAGACCATCGGAGGAAGTAAAGCATCTGGTTTGTTTTGTAATGAGAAGCAGGAATGCAAGGTCTACGCTCTTAATAATAAACAAACAGGACATTGTATGCCATCATCACAGGATGTCCTTCCTTCGGCTAAGGGCTGACTGGGGCTGGAGGAAAAGCTGGGCTCCGAGCGACAGGGCTCCGAAGGAGCCCCACTAATTACTGCCTCTGTCTGCCCTCCACTTGGAATGACCTGCTCAATCTTCCCTTTAACTGGGAAACGATTAATACACTACATGCTTACACGCTTCTCAGAAGTCTGGCTGTGGGTTTTGGGGGCAGAGAAAAGGCACACACAAAAAAACCAAACACGTTATTCTGTAGGATGATGACTTTTTCCTATTTCCCAATTTACTAAATAATTGAAAAGAGGAAGTGAGCTCTGCCAAATTTGAATGCATTTTAGTTAGCAGGAGAAATGGAAGCTTACAGATGTGTGTGTGTGTGTGTGTGTGTGTGTGTGTGTATTTCATAGGTAATAGCTGAGGACTAGACAGCAACCTTTTATTACAATTGGATTAAAAAAATAATAATTTCACTTGCTCTTTCTAAATAAGTTTCATGTAATCTGTAATTGGACTTGAGCCGAGCACACCACAACATGTTTAGGTCCTTTTTTAGGTTTCCTCCCTTAATTTAAGAAATGTGCGTGTACCCCCCACCTCCTCCCCCCTTCTCCGCCTCCCCCCCCACCCCCCACCCCGAAAAAGCCTTGGCAGGAAGGTGGGCGGTCTGGAATACTTAGAATACAATAACAGCCCGCGTACACGCCGAGGGGTACGAGCCTTCCAAGGGAAGGAGGATGCATGTTGAAATCCCAGGCGGATCCGGGAGGCTCGGATGGGGGAAAGCGCCGCGCCGGGCCGGGCGGCCGCGCTGGTGCAGGTGAGGCCACGCCCCCCACTTGAGGCGCGGGTGCTGAGTCAATCAGACAAATGGGAAATCTGCAGCTGGGAGGGCAGAGCCGCCGCGCCGGTTAGCGCAGACTGAAAGCGCCGCGGCCGCAGGCCCGCAGTCAGTGCTCCGAGGAGGGCGGGCAGCGCAGCACCTGTCCGCGCCCAGCGCCGCGCCGCCCGCCGCCGGGATCGCGGAGCCGCCCGCCGCGCGCCCGTCTCCGGGCCCCAGCCCGCGCCCGCGGGGCCGCCGCGGAGGAAATGCGGACGGGGCAGCGATGAGCGACCCTGCTCTCCGATGTTGCTGGATATTTGCTTGGGAAAGCGCGTGGGGACGACCTGGGTAAGGAGCTGGGATCTTCTCTGTAAAGCTGAAATTGACCTGGAAACTTTTCTTTCTTTCTTTTTTTTCTTTTTTGCTCTCGTCGCAAGTGGAAACCAGAAAGGCTTTAAGGCACTTAGAACTGTCAAACATTTATTTGTGAGGCTTTTTTCCCTTATGAATCATTAACCCTTTCAGTTCTGGGCGTCCTTGTCAACTCGCTGAAGCTTTCAGCGCTGGGGCTTCTGCCCAGTCCCGAGCTCAGGGACGACGGCTCCGGGCGGGCTGGCTTTTTACATGTTGTTTTATATATATATATATATATATATATATATATATATATATATATATATATATATATATATATATATATATATTTTTTAACGCGTATTTGGCATCCTGACTGTGCATGTTGCAACCCCATGAAAAAATAAAGCAAGGGAGCTTGCATTGGAACCGAGGGAAGGACAACGTTGCATCTGGCTTCTTTTTCTTTCTTTTTTTTTTTAAGCATCATGTTTAAGGAGATGGAAGAATGTGGAAGCCACCCTGGAGGACTTGCCCGGTGTTGTGTGTACATTCTAAGGGGGACAGGCTCTTACATGGAAGAGAGACGCATGTTCCTACTTTTTACCAAGCATCTGTATATGGGAAAACATCGCAGAAGTTGTTTGCCTTCTCTCTCTCTCTCTCTCTCTCTCTCTCTCTCTCTCTCTAGAAAACACTGTCTGCGGGTGAGGAGACACTACTTTCGGGAATCTCCTTGTCCGTTTCTAAGGGGAAGCAGAGCGAGTGCTCTGAGTCTCCTCTATTTATTATAACTTTAGTTACAGTAAACTGTAGTACATCAATGACTTCTGGGAATTTGTACACTTTCAGATTTAAATGGAAAGTGCTATTTGTAGCTGAGGGCTCCTGAAGGAATTCTCTCCCGGGAATTCTATTGAGCAGTTTTATGTTTTGTGTGTGTGTGTGTGTGTGTGTGTGTGTGTGTGTGTGTTTGCTTTTCAACTTGGCGTGGGATGCCCACAAGTCTGAAGGCACGGTGGGGCGTTGGGACCCCTCACCCATCTTCCCTCCTCTGTTCCTGTGGTCCAAACAATTTCTGAAAGGCTGCACCTCGGTGATGCTGGCAGGATGCAATCCTTTCCAGACTTGAGAGGATGAAAGAGATCCCTCGGCCGAGGGGGGCGGGAGGGGGGGCAGTTGTTTTGAAAGTTGTTTTGCATCGGGAGCTGGTGGGAAAGTTCAGTCTTCCCCATTTGGAAAAGGCAGGCTGGGTTCCGCTCCTGCAACACACACGCGCTTTCCATTTTTAGCTTCATTCACAGGCAGACAGAGCTCCTTCCTCTTCCTCTCCTTGTTTGTGACAGTCTTCTGAGGCAGCTTTTCCACAGCGCCCAGGGGCTGGCAGCCATGACCCCAGGCGTTCTGGGACCCAGGACCGAGCGCCCACAACATTTTTCTGCCGTGAGAAGGAAAGCCGGGGATTGTTCAGAGGTGGTGGTTTTTTTTTTTTTATCCCCCCCAATGAAGTTGCCATACTTTTTTTTTTTTTTTTTTTTAAACCTTGAGTAGCCTTCTCAAACCCTGCTTCTTTAAGGCAGTCTTCTCTCTCCTGCTGTTTGGCTCTTACTCAACTGTACCAAGCACTCGGCATCTGCTTTTCAAGTCTTCAGACTACTGTATTAGTCATAGCCTCCCGGAGGAGCCACAGGACAATGGGGATTAATGGCCTTCCCTTCTCTTCCACTCTCCAGGCTGCCCCGAAGTGTGACTCCGGCAGCAGCGCTGTGAGGTTTCCCGGGCTGGCAGAGGGGCCGGAGGGGACCATGAAAATGGACATGGAGGACGCGGACATGACTCTGTGGACGGAGGCCGAGTTCGAAGAGAAGTGTACCTACATCGTGAACGACCACCCCTGGGACTCGGGAGCCGACGGAGGGACCTCGGTTCAGGCGGAGGCATCCTTGCCAAGGAACCTGCTTTTCAAATACGCCACCAACAGCAAAGAGGTACGTTGTTGCCGCTTGCTTTATTGCTGGAGAAAGATGGGCATTGGGTGCCCAGTCTCCCCCGTGGCCCTGGAGGCCTCCTCCTCTATCTGGTGAGGATCTCTGAGTGCCTGGAAGTAATTGATCCCTCACTCCACTCCTTTCATGGCTTTCCCTTTCCCTCCGTCAGCCCTGGCTCACTTCCTCCAGCCCTCCACGGTTCCATACTAATTAGTAAACAGTTAAGCCTTTTGGCAGCTTGACATGTCTTGGCAGAGCTCAGCCGCAGCAGCGTGGGGAGGACGGCATTGTCAGGGAGCTGCCGGCCAGGCCGGGCTCCCGGGCCCCGGGGCCCCCAAGGTGTCCAGCAGCTTTGGAGGGAGAACACTTTTTCTAGGAAAAAAAAAAAAAAAAACACAAACAAAAAAACTTGGTCATGTTTCCTTTGTCTCCTTTGGGTCGTTAGATGGCTTTGTTCTTTTTAACGAGCCAGCTTTTATTGGCTGGGTTTCTGCAATTATTCTCAAAACCCGGAGGTGTTTATGAACTGAAGGGATGGCATAAACCGGGAAGAAGGTCACGTAAAAAGTGTCTTCCGTCCGTGCCGATGACTTCAGCGCTCACCACGGTGGCTCCGGGGCGGCCCTGGGCTCTGGCTGGCCGTCCCGGCCCATGCCTTACTGGCCTCTGAAGTGGGTACACACTTTGTTGCTTCAAAGGGGCCGAAAACCCCACCTTGGAAGGAGCGGAAGGTGTGTGGGTACCCTTTTATATAACGAGTACGGCGAGGCGTGATGGTTAGCCGTGAAATAGCTTGCAGAACCGCCTCTTGTTCTGAGCGTTGGGCTACCGCAGTGGCTCTCCCTTCTGGGCTGAGTTGAAGGACAACAGCTCAACAGACTTCCCACCACCAGCCTGAGCCTGACCTCCAGCCACTGTGCGTTCTGTGCTGGCCTCCACGGAGCAGGGCACGGGGGCCCTTTGCGGTAGGAACCCGCTGTTCCATATTGGGACTCTTCATGGGAGCCGCGAGGTCGCTCTCTTCCTTCTCGAAGGCCCAGCAGTGGAAGGATCTGGGGAGCCTGTTTGGGAAAGACTCTGTCTCTTTCCTGTTTGTGTCCGAGTTCCCTGTTTTTGGTGAAGGGGAGACTCGGCCGTCTAAAATCAAGCAGAGCAACTCTGCTTTTGAGTTTCATCATAAAGCAATCTTTTTCCTTTCCCAGCTGGGAGAGTGGAGGCCGATTTTATTTAAAAAAACAACAACACAAAAACAAACAAACAAACAAAAAAACTTAAATGGTAGCAGTACTGTGAACATTCCTAAAAATGGAACCCCAGAGATCAGCCTTCATTGTACCTCTTTCTGCAGGAAATACTGTTCTCGGTAGAAAGTCTTTTACTCTGTGGCCCCTGGAATCAATGTTAGGACTTGTTTGGGTATTTAAGGTTTGGCTATGGCTTTCCAAGTGGCAGTGCGTTCCCCCCCATCTCCTATTTGACCAAATGTTGGTCTCTTCCCGGGTTCATTTGTGCTGTGTTGCCCTGTCCAGCCCATGAGACTGAAATGAATTTCTATCCTGTGGGTGATCGTTGCTTTTTCATTCTACAGTGTTCAGGGCTCAGCTGAAGTTTTCCATTTTCCATCATTTGACTTAAAATCATAGCTTCGTTGAGTAATGCCCTTCGATCGTGTATTCCAAGGTTCGGAAAGATAGCCACTTACCTAAAGTGTACAGCTAGAGCCAGAGCCCGGGCTTGGAAAGAGCAAAGTTCTGACTTCCCCAGCAGTGAGTGCTCTCTGATTGTGCTACACTGGCCCCTCTTGGTGTCACTGTGGCTTTATTTTTAGTCTGAACATATTTCAGACCGATCCTTTATTAAGCTGGCTTGACTTTTTCTTTTTTCTTCTGAACATTTATTTCTCTACTTCAGTATGTTCACACCAAAAAACAAAACAAAACAAAAAACCCAGAATAAAGAAAAATGCTGTGCCTGAATTCCTAAAAGAAGGTCCTTCCACACTAACCTAATAAGAGATCAGGGCTCTCTTATTCTATTTTCCCGTATTTTATGTAACTGAAACACTTGACTAAAATAGTGTGTCTTCGGTTCCTAATCTGAAAAGCAACCAGGAAACCAACGTAAATGCAAGGCTGTCAATGCAAGGCTGTCAGAAGCTTACTCTGGAATTTGTACCTGTTTTTCTGTTTCTCCCTCTTTGAACTTTGGGGAAGGACAGCTCCCTTAAGGTGGTGAAGGAGGACTGTGGGGCTGGGCCATTGAGGACGTGCCTGCTGCAAACCAGCTCTCTCAAACAGACCTTTAGGACCGGGGAACTGTTTTACACTGTCATTATTCAGTTAGTCCTTTCCTTCCCACCAGCTGTGGAAATAGGCAAAAAAAACGCCCTTCTACATGTAGTTTTTATCTGACTGATTTTACTGATTTAACTTGCCCTTCTTTAAGTGTTTTCATTTAAGTAGCAGAAGATATACCACATTATGTACTGTTGTGCTGACATACTTGGGGATTTTTTTTTTTTTTTTTTTTAGCAAGACCATTTTTCACTATGAATTTGTGCTATGTGTCAGCACCTTTTTTTTTTTTTTTTTCCTTTTGGTTTAAAAACAAAACATACAACCGTGTTTCTGATCTTGACCCTCATTTTTAGATTTGGTTTAGAATCATTTTGGTATCTTTAATGAGGCTGTTCTTACTTCCTATTTCCAGAACTCACACCAAATATAGACATAGTATTCAAAACTGTTTAAGCCTTTTTAACTGATGGGCTATTCTTTTAGGGGGGTTTTCCCCTTGTCCTCCTGAAATAATTTTCTATGAATATTTGAATACAGAAAGGTCCATTTAAACATTTATATTTTAGAAGTGGTAGCCTGTGCTGAAATGGCTCGCATTCTAGAAGTACTGTGGCTCCCGAGTCTGACTCCCCCAAAGCCATGTGGTGATAAACATCGGGTGGACGATGGGGACTCGCTCAGTGTCCACTTTGATGGAAGTCCATTATTAATTCAAGCCATCTGCAAAAAGTATCTTGCCCAGAATGTGCAATTCTCTCTTCTTCCTACCGCCTTTTCTTTGGGAGACATGTACCGGGGGCATTACCACATTTCCTTTAATACAAAGATAATTAAGGAGGAAACATAAAAACATCTCCATTCGCTCCACCCCTTTTTAAAAAAATGAGGTGCATTACTGGCCGAAGTCTTGGTCCACAACAGTGCTAGTCATCTCATTGCAGATAATCCTAATGATTGTAATCAAATGAGGCCTTTTGTGGGGCTGGGGGTGAGGAAGGGGAGAGATAGCTAGTAATTAAAATGATCTTACTGGCATGTGAGCTGAGAATGCTCACAGAACATTTAGACCTGAATGCTGTTTCTGGTTTAAAACCCACTACTGTGTGTGTGTGTGTGTGTGTGTGTGTGTGTGTGTGTGTGTGTATACACACACTCCCTAAAGGAGGAATTGCTTTAAACAACAAACAGAGAACTTACATTCTCCTTGCTATCAGATTTTTACTTCTCCCCCACCCCCACCCCATCCATCATACGTTGTGAAATCTTCATTTTGTCTAGTAGCCACTGACCCCCGTGTTCTGTGACTGGAGCCACTGACAGAGAGGGATCTGCTCCTGTGGCAGAAGGGTCGGCTCCGCACATAACCCGTGACATGGAAGAGCTTCTAGAGTCAAGCATCGTGGAGGCCAGCATGGTCTGGCTGATAGGTTTATGGAAGGTGCACAGCAGCCTGTCCCCAGCAGAAATTCTTTAGGACCCTGGTCAGTTCCAGGGACGGTTCCTTCCTGAGCTAGGTGAACACATTCTTAATCTTCTTAGCACTGCAAGATCCAGGGCTCACGCCAGGCTCCTCTGTGTCTTGTGCTTGCTCCAAGGATGGAATGTTGTCGGCTAAGCTTCACATCAGGCCGCATCTTTCCAGGGCGGGAGGCAGACTGTGACCTAGTCTTCCACTTCCCATTGAAGTGCCACTCAGTTCCTATTCCCCTTCCTAGTTACCTGGCTGAGTGCTGTGATCTTAAGAGTTGCAGCAGTTCTGTCCTCTTTGAATAATGTCTCAGACATGGATCTGAGATGAAAGTCTTTATTGTGTGTTAGAGTACTAGGCTGAGCATGAATATATAGATGGCATGTTAGCTACATAATTCCTTCTCACCTAAAAGTTCTGTGATCTTGTGTCTCTATTTATCTACATACATGAGTTTATTTGTACCTTACAGTTTTGTGTAATATAGGAAATTAAGATATTAAGACTGTTGAAAAGATAATCTAATACTTTCTTTTATTTTTGGGGGGCTTAGGGGTCTCCATAGATCTCTCTTCCCCCACACACCCTCCTCTGTCTAGGTGTTCTCCTATCTTGCCTGCTGTCTTTCATTTGTAAGGTTATAGATGGGAAGAGTTACCTCCAATAGTGCCTTATAGCTTCCCCAGTGATTTGCCCATGTTGCTCAAATAGGGATTGGGTGACTTATATCTTCCTTAAATTTCTACGTGGCCTTTGTCCACAGGAACATGTTGTGTGTTTTCTTAATGTAAGATTGGTATCTGAAAACCAGGAGGCCCCGGGGTTTAAAAAGAATGGCAATTCAGAAGAAACACTCTGACCTCAATGCAGTGCTCCTTGTTGGTAATCAAGTTCTGACTCCTAAGACACTGTCTGCAAGAGACTATAATTTAAAACAAAGTTGATGAACCAGTTGAGTACCTTTCTTAAAATTACTGCTTTAAAGTGGATATGTTGAAAATATCAACTGCTAATTATTGGCTCACCAACAAATGACATTATTTGTTTTTCCTGTTTGTCATTTTAATGTTATGGGACAGTCACTCAAACATGAATGCCAAGTGGTTTGCGTGTCATAGCAGTCAATTCCATGAATTTTTTCAATTAATTAGGTTCAATAATGTATTATAAACAATGAGCCTCTGAATAAGTAAGTCCACTTAAGCTTTAGTATATGTTTTACCTCAAGACTATTCTGAGGTACTCCTGTCTCCAGTAGTTGTACTGCCGACAAATACCCATAATGACAAACTGTTATTGAAAGGACAGATAGATGTAAATGAAGGCAGAGGAAGAGTGATGAAATGAACATCTGCTTTTTTCACCTGTCTGCCAGAAATTCATAAATGACCAAAAATAACATTCTAGCTGACCAACCTTGTTTCAATTTGTGTTAAGGGTAGAAAATTTTTTTTCTGTCTTTCCAGTCTTTGTATGTTCCATTGGCTTATATATTGAATAGTAAAAAATATATATTAAAAGTAATAAATAAATAAAATTCAAAGAAATTAAAAATTATTGGCTGATAAGAAATGTATATTAAAAGAGTCGTCTCTACCTTATAAGTAGAGAGTGTGCCTACTCTATATGCATTTAAAGAGAGGTTTGAACTTTTAATGCAATTTAATGAAGTGTCAGTGCATGTCATAACTAAAATCTTAGATTCCTTTATGAACATTTATTGACATATTTTGGCCTCCATTTCAGTTAAACAATTAAGCAGGAACCATCAGGGATAATAAAAACTAGAAACAAATATTGTTTTTTACCTCCCCTCTTAGTCCATATGGTATTTAGTAACTAACTTGTAGGCTCTTTTAGATGGGAAGAAATAAAAATGGGAAAGTAAGTGTATAAAAACCAAAACAAAACTATAATTGCAAAATGTTGTGAAGGACCACTTACAAAGGAGTTTTTTCAATGGTGATGAATTGCTTCCTGATTTGTGGTTGGTGATTTTTTTTTTTCACCCCTCCACCACCCCCCCCCCCCCTTAAAGAAATTTACGATCAAGGAGGAACTGCATAGTTAACATGTTTCTTTTGTAAGACCCTACAAAGTCAGAATGTGTGATACATCCAGTCTGAGGTCACTTCCTCTGATCTTAGAACCTGAGGCTCTCAGAACCCACAACTCTCCTCAGTATAAATTTCATTTTAAAGGAGAACTTTGACCACTGTTGAGTAGATGATGCTAGACAAGAATAAAAGTTACTTTGAGAGATCTTTCTTATAAAGAGAACTTACAAGCTATGAAGGAGGAAAAAAAAAAAGCAACACCCTTATCTGGGTTGAAGAAAAAGAAGAGAAAAAAAGAATGTGTTTGGTTTCTGGTTCCTCGGGCCTTTGTGGAACGACCAACGAGCATTATTTTGGTTTCTGAGGTTTAAAACTACTTTATTCCCCTCAAGCATACTGTGTTTATGGTTGAAGGAGAGGAGAAATAGGAAACTAGGAGCAGGCTGAATTGGTCTAACCTTGACCATCTAGTTCTGCGTTGTCTGATTCCTGTTCTAAAGCAGAATGGATACCTCTCTGTTCTTCTAATATAAAAAGTAATCATAAAAATAAAAGACCCTCAGTCACTGGAGAATAATCCTTTAGACAATGTTAATGCTTGGTTAAATATTGGTTTATGATCTGGGAGTTTAAAAGTGGTCTTCCCCTAAGGTGAAGCACGATGTTAATTATGTAGGCGCCATATCATAATTTTGTCATTGTTGGTTGCCTTACCACTTGACAACTCATTAAAATAAAAACACTGATTAATATGTTGCAGTCAAAGTAATTGTTTCATATGCTTTACCTCCTTTAGGTTATGGGAGTCGTGAGTAAAGAATATATACCAAAGGGAACACGATTTGGACCTCTAATAGGTGAAGTCTACACCAGTGATACTGTTCCCAAGAATGCCAACAGGAAATATTTTTGGAGGGTAAGTATGGCAAAATTTTTCCAGATTCATTAAGAAAAAAAAAAAAAAAGGAGAGCTAGAATTGCTGGGTCACTTCCTTTTTCAACTTGTACTGGGCCTCACCACCCACAGGTATTCAGGTCCCCAGGGACATAGAAAATCCTAAGCAAAAGTGATGAAACTGGCTAAACGTTTGGCCCTAGAAACCAACGGTTATAGGTGGTTAGGATGGAGATATATGGACTATATGTGGATCTTAACTTTTGCAATTCATTGAGCTATGTGAAGAAAGGAAACAGTTTGCTACTTGCTTCAAGGGTAGGCTCATTTGCATTTCTCTGCAAGGAAGTAGTAATGAGTCACCAAGTCTTAGATTTCACCTCTTCTTGATTTCTTGCAGAGTTAACTTTAATTGAGTGGAAGAATAATTATAAATGAATAATCTTGAAAAAAAAATGCCATTCAGGAAGGCTAGGTAGAAGATAGCACTAGGGAAATGCAGATGGACCTCAGGACTAGTCCTGTTTAAATTTATCTCCACAGCCCCATCTGTCATGGCTCAGTAGTTGAGCGTCATCCTATGAACCAGGAGGTCATGGTTCGATTCCCGGTCAGGGCACATGCCCAGATTGTGGGCTTGATCTCCAGTGGGGGAGTGTGCTGGAGGCAGCCAATCAATGTTTCTCTCTCATCATTGGTGTTTCTATCTCCCTTTCCCTCTCCCTTCCTCTCTCTGAAATTAATAAAAACACATTAAATTCGTCTGCACCACAAAACTATTGGATTTGCCAGTATGTAGATTATATCCATAGCTTTGGGGAAATGCTTACAATCATGCAAGATGATAAACTTTCTATAACATCCAGTCTGAAACTCTAGCCAATGCAATTTCCTTTGGGATAGAAAGGACCTCAGAGGTGAACTAATTAGATGAAATCCTTGAGTAAAAGACTGGAGTGAACAGAGGAAAAATTGGGCTGTTTTTCATCTTCCCATAGCTCTCTGCAGGATATTTCTTTTTTTTTTTTAATATATATTTTATTGATTATCTTACAGAGAGGAAGAGAGAGGGATAGTTAGAAACATTGATGAGAAAGAGTCATCGATCAGCTGCCTCTTGCACACTCCCCACTGGAGATGTGCCCGCAGCCAAGGTACATGCCCTTGACCGGAATCGAACCCGGGACCTTTCAGTCCAGAGGCTGACGCTCTATCCACTGAGCCAAACTGGTTTCGGCTCTGCAGGATATTTCATTTCCTCATTTAGAAAATACGCCAGGACCTGTTTGGCTCAGTGGATAGAGCATCGGCCTGCGGACTGAAGAGTCCCAGGTTCGATTCCGGTCAAGGGCATGTACCTTGGTTGCGGGCACATCCCCAGTGGGGAGTGTGCAGGAGGCTGCTGGTCGATGTTTCTTTCTCATCGACGTTTCTAACTCTCTGTCCCTCTCAGTTCCTCTCTGTGTAAAATCAATAAAATATATTTTTTTAAAAATTAGAAAATAAAGATATTCGTACAAAACTTAAAAGTAAATTTTTATACATACTTCCATAAAAAGCACACAACAATTGGGGAATCGTTATTTGAATTATTTTTAGAAACAGCTGCATGGTAACAACAAAAATGGGATTACACTTATTAGTTTGGCCAGTATTTACCTAGAACATTTCTACCTTTTAGACAGGTATCTTGACAAAATACATATTTGGGGATCATTCAGAAGCTGTTCCTAAAAAACAAAATTTTTTCAAAAGCCAGGAAGTTTTGTGTTTTTAGAAATGTGGTGTTCTATTTTCCAAGCAAATGAGAACTCTGAGAGTTGTGTACTCACAACTTTTCTTATGCTTAAAATATATGAGTTAAAATAGGCAAAATGTTAGTGCATTTTTGCATTTATTGCCAATAAAATCTTTTCAGAAGTGAAACATAGAGGTGTGTGATTCTCATTTGTAGGTCTGATTTAAGAGAATCTAACATAAGTCTCATTAATACCTGGTCATTTTGACAAAGAGAAGAAACACCTAAGAACCTCTTATCCTTCTCTCAGTTCCCTCATTCATTCACGATTCACTATAAGTAACTAAAATGCTGTTCTTGGGAGGATTTATTTGAATCAGTCTTTCACACACAAAGGATGTTGTAGGAGATAACTCCCCACGTGTTGTTAAAAGCATCCTGATGTTGCTGGCAGGAATATGGACATCTGTTTGAGAAAAGAAAAAAGTTTCATGCAAATTACACAGTCAAAGAGAAGAGAAGGGGTGTTCAAGTTGAGAAACCAGTGACATTTCTTGTAACTGTACTATGAGTCAGCACTTTTTAATCTTCTTGATAATATATGGAAATGTAGTGAGGTGACAGGGAGCAGCGTTCATTTGACGTATGCATATTTTCGCGTGTGTGTGCTTGTGTGTGACTTCATAGCACCAATAATTCTTCTTTAAATGAGGATATAGTAAATTGTAGTCCGTGGAAGGCTGACTGGAACCAACATACCCGTAGCTTTAGAAAGCAGTTTCCGCCCAACCAAGAGTGCAAGAGCGATGGAACCCCATGTTCCTGGAAGTTTGCACATCAGAGTAAACAAACTTGAAAACCCCTCTTGATAGCAGAATTCACCCAGCCTTGTTCCATTTTCTCTTAACAAAACACACCGCAAACGCTCTCACAAGCTGCTTTGATGAAGCCACATGTATTTCCCCCTTCACAATTTACAGGAAGTTACTCTTAAAAGAAAGTGATTCTGGTGTTTACTGCCCGTGTTAAAGGGACAGAGTTCCTTTTTATCTCTGATAACGTTTGAGTGAAATACAGAATCAATTTATAGACTCCCATAGTTATGTGACTAAGAGCAAAGCAGTAACCTGCTCTCTGGGACGAGCCGTGCCCCACTGCTTGGAGACTACAGGTTGCAGATGACCAGGTATTGATGATTGTAGATGCATAAGGAAATGTCTTAGGTCTGAGGAAGAGGTGTGATACATGTTAAAGAGAGAGACAGAGAGAGAGAAAACTTTCTGTGGAAGGGTAAGCCATTTCATGATGGAGCAGTTTCAGGAAGAACGTATATTTTGATTTCTTTTTTTTCCTGTTCTTACCTCTGCCTTTTCCCCACCCCGAGTGGCCTGTGTGCCTCTGTTAAACAGAAGTTACCACAAGGCAAACTTGGAAATCTGCTTTATGCACGGCCCTTAAAGAACGACATGGTGTCTTCCTGTTCTTTTTCCAAAAACACATGCCGATGGCCCTGTGAGGTGGCGTTCCAGCCAGCCTCCTCCCAGATAAGAGGGTTCCCTCTCCCCTCCTTTGGCAAGGCTGGACATGTTTATCAAGAGGAAAAGTGACTCCGTGGTGTAGACTGTCAGATGCTGGCTCCCGGCCCAGCCTTCACTTTGTTATGCCAGGTGAAGTTCACCTCTGCCCCACCCAGTGCTTCCACAAAAAAAGGCAAGGTTCCAAGTATTTATGTGAACAAGTGTTACTTCTGGACTCCGAGGCTCGGGGGTGGAGGATGTTTGCATAGTTTAAGCCTTGGGCGGGGGTGTAGGAAATGGCAAGTACAGAGGCCATAGAAAAAGTGGAGAGACTCGGTTTGACGTAGCCCGTCGGCTTGTCTTCTGCGCAGTGACTCAAAGCATTAAAAGTCAGCATCATCGGAATTCAAGTTGGTAGCGTCACCCACTTGCCACTCGCTGCCGTGGCAAGAAGTAGGACTCGGCTGTTTTCATTCACCCGGGGCGAGGCAGCTCCTCAAATGAAGTGTTGTGTTTCACCCTTTTGTTATTTCCCCACCACACACACACACACACACACACACACACACACACACACACACACGTGAAAAGGCGGTAAAACCGAGATGGAAAAGGTAACTGACAGTGTGCCTTACCTGTTTCTGCCCTTGTTTCTGCTGATTCAAGACTACTCGGGCCGAACTGATTTGATTCTTTCTCTAGCTAGGTGATAGGGGACCAGAAGCCACACATGTGCTTTGCTGTGTTGATTCTTAAGAGGTGCCTGGGGGCTGACCCTCTTCAACCCGTCTGTCTTCTCTTCCGGACAGATCTACTCCAGAGGGGAGCTTCACCACTTCATCGATGGCTTTAAAGAGGAGAAGAGCAACTGGATGCGCTACGTGAATCCGGCGCACTCCGCCCGGGAGCAGAACCTGGCTGCCTGCCAGAACGGGATGAACATCTACTTCTACACTATTAAGCCCATTCCTGCCAACCAGGAGCTGCTTGTGTGGTATTGCCGGGACTTTGCAGAGAGGCTGCACTACCCTTATCCTGGAGAGCTGACAGTGATGAATCTCAGTAAGTGGATTACAGAACAAAAAAAATGTTAAATGCCAGTCATGTCAGTTCTGCCCCTCTGAGCTAATAACATGTTGTTTAATTATATGGCTTCGTCTGTTGGGCCAAGTAGGTGGCTTAAACCAGGCCCTCAGAAGGAGGGGAGGGGTGAATTTTAGTGCCTATTTCCTATTATAAGACTTGACCATTTGAAAAAAGATGAAGAGCTACTTTGAGTGTTTAATTCAGAAAGTCACCAGGAGAAATATATGTCCGATTCTAATATCTCCAAAAGGGGGCGGGGAGGAGTAAGGTAGAGATTGGTTCTGATAGGCTGACTTGGCAGGGAAAAGCGTCTCCCCCCCCCCCCCCCCCTTGTTTGTGGTAATTTGTCAGTGCTTAAAATATGCATTGAAATCTTGTAGAGATGCCCATTTGGTTATTAAGTTATGGTCTGATGTGGAACATAGGAAATTGATTCTAGAAAAACTGGCAGCTGTAATTTTTAAATATCATTCTAAATGAAGAACAAGATTGTATATTTTAGCTTCCTTCTTTTATTTGATCAATTCATCTGTTTTAAAGTAGCCACTTATCACTTTATTGTAACCAATTCTTAATTCCTTAGATTTATAAGCCTCTACTTTTTTATTTGGTGGAAGTTGTTGTCTACTTCATTTTAGTCCTTCTCAGGTGACCTCTATGAATGATATAAGAATTACCATAACATTCCAACCTGTTGTAACTATGCTTGTGTGTTCTCAGTTACACTGCTGTGTAATAAATCAGTTTCTTAAATTAAGTTTAAATTTTTAAAGTAAAATTGTAAACCTTTTTGTTTAAAAGTTTCAGCATCTAAATGCTGATATTTTCGTAACTTGTGGTTTTGGCATCATTTCAAACTTAAGGGGGAGTTGCAAGAATAATACAAAGAATTCCCAGATACACTTTACCCAGAACCTATCATTGATATGGTTTCACTTTTGCTTTATTTAAAGGCTAAATTGTTTTAGTTTACACTTTCATCTTTGAGACTTTTGGAAGAATAATGTAGGCATACATTAGAGTTTTTTATTTCAGCTCTAGGACCAACTTATCCTAGATAAGTTTGTATAATCCCAACTCTGTAGCTATTTAGTGCTCATCCACAGTGTCTACTTCATCTCTTTATGATCTCAAGACTATTTATAGTTTTCTGCAGAACGGGGAATATAAAAGATTATGGATCTCCTCCTCACAGGCTTGTGTCTGTGGCCCATTGATACGCACGTGCCCACGCTCACACACAGTGCACCTTGAGCTTCATAATAATAAATTTATAATAAGTAAACTAGCTTCCAACATGAGCATGATGGGTATAATCAGGTCCTAGGCAAAGGTGGCCATTCTTTTCCCTCATTTCCCTTCACTGCTCCCAAGAATTGCTGTCATGTCTCAGAGCCAAGCATCTAAGGAGTACTGAGCTTTTTCACCATCTGTATGTGCCAGGCCTAGTACTCAGAGCCTGGTGGTAAAAGACAACTTAAATTCTGGCAGGGCATCTCATGGGAAGATAGGCAGGCTCCTCCTAACTTTCTTAGCATAGCAAGTCACTTCCTTTGGGGGATCTTCTTACAGTCCTTGGGCTTAATTATTCATGGGTTCAGAGAAATACCTTGGTTTCATCTTTTTAAACAGTGACTCCATGTGAGGTAATGCATCCCAGTGATTTTGTATGAACCACAAAAGAACCTTTTTGTATACCTCCCTCCCTCTCTGCCAATCAAAGAAAGGTTTTTAAGGTCTTGCATTTTTATCCTCCAATGAAAAGTTTTGCACATATTTTAAGACTCAGAGGCAAATCCTTTATGTTCAGAAGCAACATTCTTGTGTACTGTGAAATGATACCTTTCTTCCCCCCAAAATATCCCTTATTGTTTATTTGCAGAAATTTTTTCCTAAATGGTGGTCTAACATTCCCAAGTTCCCTTTTATTGGCCAGTATTCATGGTAGAGAATGAGAGGTAACAATACTGGTCACATTAGGCCAAGACTCCTACTGCCGATTGTGAAACCAGTTGTCTTAGGCGTGGTAACTGATGACTGAGACTGATCAGGAAAATTTCCACTATTTCATCAGGCCTAACAGGTAGATTGTGTCTGCAAGTGAGTTGTGTGGCAAATTATAGCACCAAAAAGGTCCATGCCAGAATCCCCATGACGACGTTAAGTGCCAGTGATGGCTCAAGTGGTAGGGTGTTGAAGAGAAGAGATTTGATGCAAACTTAGGTCAAGAAAAATAAGTATTCAGAATTCACAAATTGGCATTTTTAAAAAATATATATATTTTATTGATTTTGTACAGAGAGGAAGGGAGAGAGAGAGAGAGAGTTAGAAACATCGATGAGAGAGAGTCATCGATCAGCTACCTCTTGCACACCCCCTACTGGGGATATGCCCGCAACCAAGGTACATGCCCTTCACCAGAATCGAACCCGGGACCCTTCAGTCCCCAAGCCGACACTCTATCCATTGAGCCAAACAGGTCTCGGCACAAATTGGCATTTTTAAAAAAACAAAAGAAAAGGAGTCGAAACTATTAAAATAGGTTTAACTCCTACCCCTTTCAAGTTTTTTTTTTTTGTATTTTTTTCTATCTATCTTACTAACCCATCTAGAAAACAGTTGACCAAATTATAGACTTCTAAATGTTCATCTGCTTTCTCAGTTTCAGTTGAAAACAGACTTTGTTTTGCCTATTGCAGAACTTCTAGGTTCTTTCTTGTAGTCTTAGGGGTTCTTATTATAGATCGAAAATGTGAGTCGGCATAATTAAGCCATTCAGAGCCTTCAGAAGCAGTTCACTCTTGAAATGACTCTGTCCGCCTACAGCCATGTAAGATTTAAGAACAAAAACACATCTTGATTTTCCTTTTCATGTTAACTCAAGCTGCTGCTGAGTGGGAGATTCAGAAATGACACCAGCTCCCCTGATTACTCAGCTGCTAAGGATGATTTTTTAAAATGTACCTTCTGTGGATGGCATGCTGTCCACCTCACAATTCCTCAGGAGGGGCTACCTTCCCTTTGGATATTGTTTTGGAACAAGACGCAAATTTGTTTTTAGAAAGGCATGAGAGAGAGCAAACATTTATTGCAGATTTACTATGTGCCGGACACTGTTAAATATTTTACCTAGAAAATGATGTTTGTTGGCTGAATCATTAGTGTGTGTTTTTTTTTCAGTTCAGTTAACGAATTGTTGAAGCCCTTAGTAAGAACACCTAACTAAATAGGAAGAACAAGGCTGTGGTTGGACTAAACGTTTTGCTTTCACTTTAATTTATTGAATTTTATAATTGAAGGAGTATTGAAGCCACTGGAAAAAGTAAGAGACTTTTAGATATAGTTTGCCACGTAAAAATGGCAGAAAAGGATGATGGTGAAGTGTCTGTATTTCATCTTACTAGGATGACATTTTTTGCTAACATGGGCCTATGGGGATGCTCTGAGTCACTCTTTTTCAGCCTGTCTGAAATTCCTTCCTGTGGCTGAGAGAGATATACGTCTTGCCTATCAGTTTTCCAACTCCCGTTGTCTATCTTCCTTTACCATTTAGGCTTTAAAAAACAAAAGTGACAATTTGAACTTCCTGCCTGCTGGGCCTCACTGAAAGATCGATATTGGCCTGATAAGGGGGTATTTATTTTGGTTTAGTGGCTGCAGAAATCCCTCTCCCTCAACAAGCTTTCCATCACTGCCCCCATCAGCATCTTCCCCGATAGTGTCTGGGCTGTGTTTATTCTGGGGCCGCTGGCTCACCCGGGAGTCACTGATAACAGCCAGCAGCAGATAACATTCTCCGAGGGGCTCTCAGGCGGGAACCGAATCCCTCCAGCCTGTCAGCCTAAAGAATGGATTTGGAGAGCTCAGGGTCTGGAGTTCCACCGAGCTCATTTCTAGACCTATCGGATGTCAAGCCTAGAGTTCCTTCTCAGTTAAATCAAACAGGGACTTAAAAAAAAAAAAAGAAAAGAAAAGATGATGAATGATACTTTGCGGAGGCCTCGGCCTGATCCTCACCAGCTCTCCTGCCTGTCGCGGCTGATGCCTTCGGTCTGTGGCAGGTGTTCACGCCTTCCAAGAACCTGAGCTCCAGCTCAGCCGCTTAGGTTTTACTTTTGCTTTCCAAGGCAGGGCAGGGCAGGGAATTTTTGGTTTCCCTGCCCCGGCGGGTGCTTTCCTGAAGGCACCGTCGGTGCTGGGTGCTTGGAGGCAGGGCTGGTGAGGGCCTGGGGAGTCTGGCAGTGGCCGCCGCTCCTAAATAGTATCCTCGCCGAGTCACAGTGTGCCTGCCGTCTCTGGGAATACATGCTTTCATCCCAGCTGCCTGTGTCCTTTGGTGCGCTAAGTAATTGGACTGGCCCGGGCAGTGCCCCGTTGTGGTTTGGCAGAGAGAACCGTGTCCTGCCTCGTGAGTGATTCCAGGGGACGGCGTGGCCGGGAGCCCGGGCAGACCAGACAGCCGTGGCGGCAGCGGCGTTCTTGTCTTGTCAGCAGGTCGAGGGGAAGGGGTGGCATCTGCGTTTCTGATCTGTCTCCTGTGGCACGGACTGTTCTGTGCAGGGTGTTGGGTTTTTTTTGTTTTGTTTTTTTTTTAAATCAAATTCGTATTAAACGAGACGGAACGTGAAAATTGATGACTGCCTGTTACTTGAAATGAGTCTTAAATCTTCCACATCTCGCTCGCGGGGTGTGCTGACTTTCTCAGAACGGCGCTTCTTAGTCTCTGACATCCCCCACCCCGGTATTTTTTCCACCCCGTTTTCATGGACGCGCTCCTGTGCTCGCCTGAGCAGCACTTTTCCATCACAGGGAGGGGGTGTTTTCTGTCAGTGGAAACAAAGTAACTTGAAGGATGCTCTTCGCTCCATCGGGCGATGCCGCCAGGGCCCCCTGTGCTGAGGAGGAAATGGAGCCGCACTGTGAGGGGGCCCGGTAGGACGGGAGGCGTTGAGAAACCAGGTGTCTCGCTCGTGGCCAGCTGGTGCTCAGCTCTTCTCGGGGAGAGCACCACCTGGGCAATTTCACTTCAGCTCTCTGTACCCCTCTGAGTAATCGTCCTTCCCTCTCCGTTTCAGCACAAGCCCAGAGCCACCCGAAGCAGCAGAGCACCGAGGGGAACGACCTTTGCCCAAAGAACCCCCCGAAGAGAGAGCACAGCGTGAAAGAAATCCTGAAGTTGGACTCCCACCCCTCCAAGGGGAAGGACGCGTGCTGTTCGAACATTTCACCCCTCGCTCCCGAAAGGGACGCGGACGACTTCAGGAAGAACGGGAGCCCCGAAATGCCCTTCTACCCCCGGGTGGTGTACCCGATCCGGGCCCCTCTCCCGGAAGACTTTCTGAAAGCTTCCCTGGCCTACGGGATGGAGAGGCCAACCTACATCCCTCACTCCCCCATCCCGTCCTCCACGACGCCCAGCCCCTCCGCCAGGAGCAGCCCGGACCAAAGCCTCAAGAGCTCCAGCCCGCACAGCAGCCCGGGGAACACCGTGTCGCCGCTGGCCCCCGGGCCCCAAGACCACCGGGACTCCTACTCCTACTTGAACCCGCCCTACGGCCCCGAAGGACTGGGCGCCTACCCTGGATACGCGCCCCCCCACCACCTCCCGCCACCCTTCATCCCCTCCTACAACGCCCACTACCCCCCCAAGTTCCTCCTGCCCCCCTACGGCATGAATTGTAACGGCCTGGGCGGCATCAATAGCATCAGCAACTTCGGCCTCTTCCCCAGGCTGTACCCCGTCTACGGTAACCTCCTGGGCGGGGGCAGCCTGCCTCACCACCCCATGCTCAACCCGGCCTCGCTGCCCAGCTCGCTGCCCTCGGAAGGAGCTCGGCGGCTGCTGCAGCCGGAGCATCCCAGAGAGGTGCTGGTCCCCACGCCCCGCAGTGCCTTCTCCCTCACCGGGGCCGCCAGCATGAAGGACAAGGTGTGCAGCCCCACCAGCGGGTCGCCCACGGCGGGCACAGCCGCCACGGCGGAGCACGTGGTGCAGCCCAAAGCTACCTCAGCGGCGATGGCGGCGGCCCCCAGCAGCGAGGAGGCCATGAATCTCATAAAAAACAAAAGGAACATGACTGGCTACAAGACACTCCCCTACCCCCTCAAGAAGCAGAATGGCAAGATCAAGTACGAATGCAATGTTTGCTCCAAGACTTTCAGCCAGCTCTCAAACCTGAAGGTAGGCCTCCCCATAGAGCAGTCCGCCTGTCTGCTAGCGTCTGTGCCTGTCCTGTGTTGGGCATGTTTGTATGTAGTAGCTCGCTTTTCACAGCTTATCAAGTTCATTTCCCATAGTGTGGGGCCCGGGTTGGAAATAGTTGATGTGGGTATGATAGTTGATGTTCCTTTTGGCGCTTCTGGCTCCGTGTGGCTGTGGACAGGTGACTTTCCCTCTCCTGAGTTCCTTCTGATTAACGAAAACACGGGGTTAGGGCTAGAAGAGCAGCTGTGAAGGTCCCCGCTGGCCTGTGACTTGTGGTCCTTCAGCTCCAACAAAGCAAAGCCTTCTGAAAACCTCGGGGCTGTCTTTTTTCTATGTAAGACTTGATCTCGATGCTTAAGATCTCTGCATCCCATTTGCCGGGTCCTTCGGACCACTGAGAGCACAGCTAACCCATGTGGCTTCTTCCCAGGTCCACCTCCGAGTGCACAGTGGAGAACGGCCTTTCAAATGTCAGACTTGCAACAAAGGCTTCACACAGCTGGCCCACCTGCAGAAACACTACCTGGTCCACACGGGAGAAAAGCCACACGAATGCCAGGTGGGCAGTCTTTGGGGAAGGGGTAGACCTTTGGACCTCTGTAGGGAATCATCTAAGGAGTTGCCCTGCCCAGGCCACGCAGCCCATAGGTTAGCCAACACAAGAACCCGGTCTTGGCGTGGGCCGGCAGCCCCTGTGCTGCAAGGTGGATGATGACACAGCCAGCTCCCCGTGGGTGGAAGATGGTAGGGGAAATAAACACCACCTCATGTGCAGTGTGGCCACATCGCCCTGTTTGCTTAATGCCATACCAGCGGTGCCACAGGGAGGCTTCTCGCCTCCCGGGCTGCTGGGCATCATCGGTCTGTGAGCTTGCTCCTCCCACTGGCAACTCTTAATCCTCTGGTCTTCCCCTCTCCCTGCACTGCAGGTTTGCCACAAGCGGTTCAGCAGCACCAGCAATCTCAAGACCCACCTGCGACTCCACTCTGGAGAGAAGCCTTACCAGTGCAAGGTGTGCCCCGCCAAGTTCACCCAGTTCGTGCACCTGAAACTCCACAAGCGCCTACACACCCGGGAGCGGCCCCACAAGTGCGCCCATTGCCACAAGAGCTACATCCACCTCTGCAGCCTCAAGGTCCACCTGAAGGGGAACTGCCCTCTGGCCCCGACCACGGGGCTGCCTCTGGAGGACCTGACTCGGATCAACGAGGAAATCGAGAAGTTTGACATCAGCGACAATGCCGACCGGCTCGAGGACATGGAGGACAACATCGACGTGACCTCCTCTGTGGTGGAGAAGGAAATCCTGGCCGTGGTCAGGAAAGAGAGGGAGGAAACCGGCCTGAAAGTGTCCTTGCAAAGAAACCTGGGGAATGGACTCCTTTCAGGGTGTAACCTCTATGAGTCATCAGACCTGTCCCTCATGAAGTTGCCTCCCAGCAACCCACTACCTCTGGGACCTGTCAAGGTCAAGCAAGAAACAGTCGAACCAGTGGATCCTTAAGATTTTCAGGAAACAAAAAAGTGTCTTATTTTGTTTCTTTTCACTTACGACTTGGCGAGTCAGGGTGCCTGTAGCAGATTCCTTGTACATAGACCCAGGGCCTCAAAGCTCTCACCTGTCTGGAATTGAAGAAGGAGCTCCAAAGTTACTGAAATCTCAGGGCATAAATGAGCAAAGACAATATATTATACATATTATATATACTTATTTACACACACACACACACACACATATATATATATATATATTTGAACCTGTGTATTTTGAATATTTTGTGTGAATATGTTTGCATAGCCTTCCCATTGCTAAGACTATTGCCTAGCCATAATTATTTTTTCAATGATATTAATCCTTCATAATTTATTATTACAATCTACCATTTAAAAAGCAATAATTAAAAAAACGTTTACAATGACTGGAAAAATTCCTTGTAATTTGAGTATAAATGTTATATATATATATATATATATATATATATATATATATATATATATATATATGTTTGTCTTGTGGCCATGCTTTGTAGACAATCTCTGCACATCTGTTGAAAGTACCTAAGGTTTAGTGATCAAATACATGACTTCAGTCAACCTCCTTCTGTAATAATGGTTTGAATATAAGGTTTTGGTATTGCCAAAAGTGGACAGTTGATGTGTTAATCCATAGGATCATGTCATTTGAACAGCATTGTATAACTTGGGGGTATGTGTGCAGAATTACCCAATAATAGCTTCCCAGTAGAATAAACAAGAAAGAAAGTCTTGTTTGTTTCTGTAGATAGTAGTTGATTTCTTTCCCCACTAGCCACGGAGTTACTAGAAAGGTGATAGATAACCTGTCTCCCTCTGGGGGTTGCCGCACCCCCAGAGTCATGCGACCATTCCGAGTGGCCCCGTGACTTTTGCATTCCCACCTTATTATCTGAAAATGTGAAGAAGACAAAAATGCCATGTTTAAAACCACTGCGAAACATTTCCAAAGCACAGATGGTTTTGTGTGTGTGTGAGGTGTAGGGGCTTGAGTCTGGGTGATGTTTTTGTTGTTGGGTTTTTGTGTTGTGTTTTTTTTTTTGTCATGTTAAAATTGCACAAACATGGTGCTCCACCAGGAAGGATTTGAGGTAGATGGGCTCAGGCCACACTTAAAAACAAAAACGGGTATTCTCGTTGTCTTAGGGTCAAAGCGGGTAATGAGCATTCCTATCCCCAACACATCAATTGTATTCTTTTCTGTAAAACTTCTCTTTTTCCTCAGTATTTGTGTTTTTACATTTTATGGTTAATTTAATTGAAGATGAAAGGGCATTGCAAAGTTGTTCAACAACAATTACCTCATTGAGTGTGTCCAGTCGTGCAGGAAATGAGGGCTTATCTAATGGTTTGCTACTCCAGACGAAACTAAGTGTGCTAGAACAAGGCCATTCTATCTCTTACTCTTGCTTAGCCCAAAGATTACATGTTGGCATTCAAGGTGTAGCAAAGAATGATGTATATTTATAAATCTATTTATACCACTATACCGTGTATATATAATATATTTATAACCACTTAAATTGTGAGCCAAACCATGTAAAAGAACCTACTTCTCCTAAGGGCAAGAAAAGAAAAAACAAACAAACAAACAAACAAAAAAAACCTTTCTAAGACTTTCTTTAGCACTCAATGACCTCACAGTCATATTGGTGAGAGTGGGTCCCCCCTCACTATTTGTAAAAGACCCTAAAACCTTGGTACAAAGGTGGGGGCCACATAACAACCAGGGGAAAGGAGAGAGATTGCTTTATTTACTGTTAAGGACAATCTTAAGATGGCTTTATTTTTGTTTTGCCACATTATGATAATGTGGTCACATCCAACTCATGGGAATAAAAATTCCATTATTACTCCTTAACTATTGTAATTTTTTCCTCTCTTCCTCTTCCTCCTTCCTAAATAGCTGATGTGTATCACTAGTCGATGTGACTTATATATATATGCAGCATTCTGTTCATGGCACCTAATGCCAACCTGCAGAAGAGAACAACAAATTTAGGATAATCCAGGGAAACCCAAGAGCCTCTCCATAAGGACCAAAACTGGCAGTGTATTGTGTATCAGTATTCGACAAACGCTGTCCTTAACTACAGGTAAACCAAAGCATCATGCTGACATTGACACCAAATGCTTTCTGTTCCCAACCGCTCCTTTGTCCCCTTTTTCCCGCTTCTGTGCTTGCTTGTACGTGGGGGTTTTTACCGAGACCTGCACAGTGGCTTAAGACTTCCTGCTTCTCTGTAGCGTCTGACTTTCCCTCCAAGGCATCTTACATGTGAATGTTGAGCCCACAATCAGCAGTGGTTCTATTCCCCCCCCTCCTCAAAGTCAAAACTGACCAAAGTTACTGGCTTTTTACTTTGCTAGGACAACAAACTATCTTATGTTTACTTACTGGTTTACATTGTTATTTATGTGCAAATTGTCAAAATGTAAATTAAATGTTCATGCTCTACCAATGCTTGTCTAGTGTCTTGAGTGAGGGCCCAGTGAACATCTTTCCCCTGCTACAGATGTGGCCCGAGAACAGATTCTGAACGTGACACAATTGGTCTCTCCCATCACACACACACACACACACACACCCCACCCCCCGCAAGGATTCCCTCACCTCATATCTCCATCAGGGACAGCACATGGCAGTGATATGATGAGCTGATGTTATATCTCTCATAACTCAATGGTGTAAGCTTTTTCTTTAATTGTGAGCTATAACAGTATCCTCAAAGTTTTCAAACAGTAGCCAGTAAATGGCAGAAGATTTGTTTGTTTTTATTGGTTTTTTATTTGTTTTATTTTGTTGATGGGCATGGGGTGGAGGGGTAGGTAAGGAAGACTTGGATTAATTCCGGAGCTGCCTTCCCAGCTGTGTGTGTGTGTGTGTGTGTGTGTGTGTGTGTGTGTGTGTGGACCCAGCCCGCTCATGGGTGGGGCCTCGGGAGGCTCCAGGAAGCTGAGTCAAGGAACACTTTGCCCATTGGTGACGTCACTTTCGCTTCAGTAGCTGGCACTGAGGGCACCACAGAGAATAAGACCTTTTTGTGCTCTGCGTGGTATTCCTGCACTACATCCTATGGGTTTTTTCTTTTCTTTTTCTTCACAACTTGGGAAGTAGGTTTGCCACTTGTGTAATTCAATTCAAGAAAGCTTCTGTTTTACCAGAAGCAGGCATTGGTGTGAAACCCAGGGGTCATGGCAGTGTGACCATGTGGCCCAGGGGTCATATGCTGGTGAAGGGACCTATTTGCTTGTCCCATCGACTCTCCAGAAACTAACCTGTCTCCAGGCACATATAAACTGGAGTCTCATTTGATAGATGTGAATACAAGATGCTTCTAGAAAAGTGTTAGTGCCTTCCATGGAAAAAGATCTAAAAGCTCTCTGCAAATGGTTTTCGTGCTTGCTATGTCATCCATTGACAAGTTCATGGTCCTGTGCCCACCAACTGCATGTTCAGAAAGTAACGCTCCTTCTTACATGTGGACACTCGAAACTGCCTGATTCTTTTTAATGTTTCTTCTTTATATCCACTTAAACATCTGTGCCAAGAACTTGAAATGCTGCCAACATGTAACTGTGGGGTTAAGAAAACCAGAACCCTGTTGTCATAAACGTGCCAAATGGTGCTGGTTGCACTACTAAATTCTGCAGAACCATTGTGGTAATAATTTTTCAAAACAAAGCCCAATAAGACCCAGAGTGTAGCAGTTACTGCCATAAATCATGGTTCTTTACTTGGCAGAGCATGTCTTTTTTTCTGGAGAGTTATATATCTTGAGAACACTTGTGCACTTGGCTGTTGAATGAAACGTTACATGAAAAAGCTAACATTCACTGGGAGCACGAGTCTACCCTGCCGGCCTCCACACAGTTGGATCGAGGCCTCATGCAGCTGTTTGTAGGGCAAGCACAAGACTGAGGCGATCATCATTTACTGAGTCTTTCCTTAAAATAAAAACTGTTCAGAAATGATGCATTCAATTCTCCACCACAAGGGAATATATAGAATAAATGGATATATGGTGACATGGGAGTTTATGGGCACATTTCTAGATTACCACCCCCCTCCTTTGGGAGTTAGGAAACCAAGTTAGGACCCATCCATTTATCTAATTTTCCATCTGGGGTGTGGGGTGTGTGTGTGTGCATGCGCAGACTTTTTTTTTTTTTTTTTTTTTTTTTTTTTTTTTTTTTTTTTTTTGAGATAATGGGGAAAGGCCAGAGCAGAGAAATGAAAATAAGGTAAAACTAGGCCTTTAGGGTGATCTGGAATAGAAAGGAAGGTTGAACCACAGAGGATGGCAGCTACAAAAAATTAATGGATAACAGAGAAGTTACATAGAATGTGATCACTGAGCCAATTTGGAAGACCCTTCCTTTCTCTTTAGGAGTCCCTAGAGTTGTTTGCCCATGACATGTCCATTATCAACTTCTGGCCACGACAAGTCTGATTATTCTGAACTCTGGCTACCTCTTCAGGGTCTGCTTATGGGGACATAGCAGCTACAAGAAATGTTTCAAGACCTGGGGGTAAGCCTTCCACCACATCCTTTTTCAAGCTTCAAGTCCTCCAAAACTCAAGTCCATTTGCTCAAAATGCTGCTGAGTGCTGCTCCTTAAATTAGAAGTGATTTTAATCTCAATATAGCTTAACTCATGTAATTTAAGCCAAAAAAAAAAATCTTAGAAAGATTTCAAAATGATATTTTTAACCTGATTTATGCAAATACTCTCTCTGCCCAGTTTCACAGAATACTATAAACTAACAAACCTTCTCCTAGTTAACGTTTTCTTCCAGGTTTAAAAGTAATGAACCCAAGTTGGCCAGGTACATGTTTCTTCCTCTGTAAAATTCAGAAGCTTTAATTTAACGTAAACGCGCATGCAGTCACCTTGTGGTTTTCTCCTACCCCAGCCAGAAAGGAAGAGGAAGTGATCAGTAAGTGCCAACGGGTGATTTTGGGAAGA